AAAGCCTTGTGTTTGTGTAGTAATTTTGTTTTCTAACCATTTTCAGAGGTTTATTATATCCCAACAAGTACTCTGTGAGGTAGGTAAGGCCAATATTTAGAGCCTAGTTTTATACATGAGGAAACAGGCAAATAGAGGCTGAGTAACTTGGAAAGTTCACTGGCATAACTAGTACCAAACTTAGGGATGGAAAACTGGCCTTCATACGCAGGCCAACATGCTAGGCATTTGAAAGGAGCTACATATAATGCCCACTTTTGCTAAACTCGGAATGAAATGAGAGGCAAATCCACTTGCCTAACATTTAACCAATAATCACTCATTGAGTTTTGGTGATATCAGGAGGAGTAAATAAAGTTTCCAACAGACTAACCATTAGAAAAGTTATGTAATGAAATCTTATAAATGGATTCACTGCTCTGTCTTATCATGAGGAGTTTTGTTAGGATTAAGATTTGTGAGCTTCGGGCACAAATTTACAAAGGTAAGTCCAGGCTCACTCATCCACTCCAACTAGTTCAAAAGCATGGATTAAATGTAAAAGAGAAAGTGAACTTATAAGAGGAATTAGTGCAAATACACTAAAAATCCAAACTAGCATTTAGGTAGCCTAGACTTCTCTACTTTCTTATCTACACCATGGCAGAGCTTTTATGAACATATTTTTGACAGCCCCTCAGGAATTCTCTAGGCCAGTGGTTCCCATGGTAGAGGGTGGGAGTGAGTTCTAGAAGGGGAGGGAGGCCAGAAAAAGGGACCACCCTACTGAGGAGTGTTTTGGAAATTCGTGGGGCCTTTTTTTTTTTTGTAGTTCTTCTAGTGTATAACCTTAAGATTTACATACTAAAAAACAGTTTTAAAATTATAAATCACATTTCATATGTTTAGTGTATTAGGTTATTAGGTCAATTTTTAAAAATTACATATATAGGAAAATATATTGTCTATGAATTTCATTAAAGGATAGTAAAGGAAACATCCAAAATATCTGTGATATAAATGGGAAACTGGCTCTAGGGCACTGCTCTAGATCAGGGTTCTCCAAGTGTGGTCTGTAGATCAGTAGGATCAGCATCACCCGGGAACTTGTTGAAAATACGAATTCTTATTACTCCAGACTTACTGAATATGAAACTCTGGGGGTGTGGCCCAGCAATCTGCGTTTTACCAAGGTTTCCAGGAGATTCTGATTCTCAAGTTTGAGAACCACTGCTTAGACTAATGGTACCTGTAGTCACATTACTGTTAAAGGCACAGGGAGGTTACATTTTCTGAAATGTAGTTTTCTGGCTTTTACACCCATGTGATGCTAATGGTTTCTTGGAATCTTTGATCTCGAAAGCAAGTCATCATCTGGTTAACCACCCTAGGGAAGCGGGTGGGCCAGCACTGAGCGCTGCCTGCACGTTCTGTCACCTCACACCCCTCCAGCGTTTACGTTTTAAAAATCTCTGCCTCAGCACAGGTCTTCTGTGTGCTAAACTGTTTTTACTTTATCTGCTGAGATTTTGCAGGTCTGGAGGTCACAATGAGTTGGGATGACATTATTGCTTTTAAAAATTATTTACAAATTCACCCAATATTTAGGGGGAGACCCTGAGAAACATTAAGATATTATAGTATTTCTGCCCAAAATTGGCAAAGAACTGTGCTGGGTTAAAATAAACATTACTAAAGAGTAAAGAGATTTGGAGTGAGAGGCATTGGGGATAGGGAGAGGGAAGAAAGACAGAAAGAGAAACAGAGAGGGAGGGAGGGTGAGAGAAACATTCGGAGATAAAACTCAATTAGGGAGAGATGCACAAAGGGGTCTTCTGCTTGGGAGCAGACACACACATACACACACACACACACACACACACACACACACACTGTGAAATAGTAACACTGTCGGTTAACCTTGCGTCAGGGTACCTGTTGAGAGCTGTACCTTAGGTCTTCCATGGATGACAGAAATCTGCAACAGATAAGTAAATTAAGGACTTGAGTTTGATATTTAAATGAAGCTCTCAGACTTCTAGACTTTGCTAGTAACAACATATTCTGTATTACCTGAAACTGTTTTTATTAATTAAATGTGTAGCTTAATGTTATGTTGTTTCTAGAAGCAGTTATGAAAAACTATGGGGTTTTGTTTTTTAAAATAGTGTACAATTGGATAATGTGACCAAAACTAAAGGTCAGAATATTTCCATAAGTTTTGAGTGAATACATACTAGAGTATTGATGTAAATTAAAATTTGAAAAAGTAAAATGACTTTGAGAAATCTTTTCTTCGTTAAAAGATCACATTTGTACAAAAACTAAAAAAAGTTTTATGACAGAGCAATCACATTACCTTTTAAAGTAATGGAAGAAGATCAGAATCGTCTTATAAACACCTATGAAGAGTTACAATGACAAATATATTTCTGTCTAAAACAGTGGACAGCACTGTACCATTTAAACAGGACACACCCTAAATTAAGGTTCTTTAAAAAGCCATGAACAGAGATACATGAAGACAGTCTCTCTACTTTTTAAAACTTTATCACTTTATGCCTATATTTTCTGGAAAAATACTATTTTTGATAATATAGCAGATCACTACCAAAAGATCTACATCACTTTACAACAAATAACTTAGATATTTTGTCAGTTCCGTATCTAAGACTTTAATGATTTTCTGGATGAAAAGTATCAACATAAAAATTAACCTTTGCAAAGTCTGCAGTTTTCCCTTGTTACACCATACTGTAACCGCCTCTTGTTAAAGGCTGACAATAAGGTGACACATGACTGCCACCTTGTGGGCAGTTAAGATGATACAGATTTCAAAATCAAATAAAGCTTCAATTTAATGAGAATTACCATAGTCTTTATTCTGAAATGCAATGGAAACAATGATAAATCAGGACGTGTGGTCCCCTTTGAGCTACATTATTCTATATTCATTAATGTGTTCATTTTTGGCACAAGTAGTTGGACACCGATACTGATAATATCAACTAGCAAAAGGCCATTTATGGAAATTATCTACAACCTTGCTACTCCAAGTATGTTCCATAGGCTAGTGGCATCTGTAATTACTTGGGAGCCTATCGGAGACGCAAAATCAGGCCCCACCTGAGACACCTGGAATCCAAATCAGCATTTTAACAAGATGCTGTGGATTTCCGTACACACCCAAGGCCAAGATGTCTTCATCTACAGCTGGTGCCTACTGTCTGGACCCTCACCCTTTACTGTACTTCCCACTCAATGTAGGGGCAGGTAACTTTCACCAAAAAGTCCAGATCGTTAAGAAAAGTACAGTTTGTTTTACTTGAATTACCTGATTAGCTTGACTTTCCCTTTGCACATGTAGAAATCTATTTTATCTATTATTTGCTGAGGTTGAACTACTGGATTAATTCCACAATTCAGAGAAAAACATTAAAACAGATTTCCCAGAAAAAAGGGCTTATTTAGTTTCAGGAGAGATTAGAATATTTTATTTTGCCCAATCAGAGCCCTTCAGCATAAAGAGACATTCATATACATATATATGAACATTTTCCAGAAACATTAATTTATAATACATTATTTTAAAATACCAGCTTAACGGTATTTATTTACAAAAATATTTCATTACCTAATTTAAACCTTTTGCTGTGATGACAGTTGTAAAGTACAGGAATGCAAAATAACTACAAAGTTTAACACGTTTTTAGTGTTTGCAATAGTGCTTTTTTGTTTTAAATGAAACAGTACACAGAGATGGGTTTTTAAATCATATTTAAAATGTATATTCCAGCAATCACCTTTGAGATAGTTACTGGACTGAGCAAGATTAAAAAAAAAAAAAGTGCAGCAACTGAAAACTACCTGCATGTACAGTTTGAGGTGTACACAAGCTTGAGCTCTATACCAACCATGCTTTGCCCCTGAAGTGGACAATGTTAGAAAAACTTGATCTTGCTCTTTTTAATATTGGTTTTGGTGTTGCATTTACAATGAACCAATAGTATAACTCGAAAGCAAAATGTTTTTCTGGTTCTAACTACCACGTTAAGCAGAGGTCACACCTAAAGTATCACAGTACCATTTATTTACACAAAAATTTTTTTTTAATTTAAAACATGATTTACCCTCTTTGCGTTGCTCTCTATTGATATGTTAAATCTGTTTCCACCTCCTTACATTGTCCTCAGTTGAAGAAAATTTAAACAACACAAAACACATTGCAAAAGTATAAAAAAACCCCCAAACTCCCAAATAAATAGGATTCCATTGTCATTAGCCTATATCCATTTTAAATGCCTGAGCCAAACAACCTACAATAAATTAATACTGATTTATTTACAACTCATACAGTATAAAATTTTAAACTATAAGCCTCATTGCAAAATATTGGCAGAACACAGTCACGATTTTTCTGATGCAAAGAGTGCGATGAAAAGAGCAATTTAATTACACGTAGCCCTGGACTACTGTACTCAATTTGTAAAGGAATTGTGCCTAATAATTTAAGACTGTGTGAGCAACTGAAGAAAGCAATGTTATAACCCTGATAATTGGGAAGTTATTAAAACCATTTAATTCAGCTGAGAAAGGTAAGCGAAAGTTTCCCCTTTGATTTTTGTCGGGGTTGTTACAACTATTTTCTGTCCACAGAAGCTTTAAAACTTCTGTGGTAACAGTAAGATCATTAAGAGTCACAGGAAAAATCATCCCCATAGCACTTTACAAGAAATTGATCAGAGTGATGAAAAGTATAATTAACAAAAGCTGTAAACAGTATCTTCACATTCATTTTCAAATGAAAAAAAAATAATTTTGGGGCATAAATTTCAATTCAAGAGAACAAACACCCTAAAAGGGAAAAGAAAAAAAGGAGGACACTTAAGATAGAGAAGTGCTCTTTTTCAAAGTAAATACAGATTAAAAAGTCTAGGAATATTTGATCAAGTATCAAACTGATAAGGAACAAATTCTATAAACTACAAAATAAAAACCGTCATTGACAAAAATACATAAACTCTGTTTTCATTTTTGGAAATTTATTTTTAAAAAAGGTAGAAGAAAATATCTGGAAAACTATTTTAAATATATATATATTTTAAAACAATAATTAAGGTAGGCATCCAACAGCAAGCTGCAGCTACTGAGAAAGATCTTGTAATTATTGTTGTGGGCATTTTCCCCAAAATAAAATTAATATTTGAAAATGCTCAATAGAGGGTTTCTTTTAAACCATAGTAATGATATCTTTCCTGTCATGTGTGAAGACTTTTGAATGATGTATGATTCTTTAAAATTAATTGTATCTCGATATGAGATACCAATATTTCTTATTATAAGCGTAAAACATAACTTTTTGTATGGATAATATACATACTTTTTAAGTACTTTGACTTAAACTTAACAAGTTCACCATTTTTAAAATTAAAGAGTACATTTATAAAAATTCCATTTTAAAACTAAAAGTATATTCTCTAGCAGTATGTATAAATATAACACGTTACTGTATGATCTTAAAACAAATCTGAAAGTGTTGCAATAATTTAAGACCTAGAACGCTGAAACAAACAGCAAATGATTTTACTATTTTTTTTTCCTTCAAAACTATATAAAACCTTATTGAAGGTTTTAAAACTATGATCATTTAAGGTGCAGCTAGCAGCATATTCACAATTTTGGTATGTTTTATACATACATATCACTTGATTTGAACGGAGAAATGTGAATTAAATGATAATAAAAAGTTTTCATTACATAAAAAATTGCAGAAAAAATTCAAGTTTGAAGTTCAGTGCTCTTTATTTTGGAAAAACAAATAAACAAAATCCCAGAAGTTAAAATGTAAAATAAATCTTTGCCACAAAAAATTTACCTTTGGATATAGCTTTTCTAATGTCACATGAAAAAATGCCTTAAGCAAAACATATATGGAATACAGAACTCAGGGTAAAACTTTGAAGTCCATGGTATCTTTCACATGTTTTTTCTTTCCTCTGCTGTTTTCTCACCACCCCCTGTAACCTAAAAGTATGTAACACTTTCAGACTTGTTTAAAACACATATCTACATGAAATAACTTCAGAGAAACCTACAATTAAAAAGTTCTAAGCAAAAGAAAATGTTTCTTTCTTTAAAGTACTGTACTTAAATTGTAATACAGTACACATAATAACATAGACAATTAGCAGCACTTTTTCCCATCCATAAAAAAATCAAATTAAGAAGTTAGTAATAGCTCAGTTATATCCATAACCATTTTTGGAAACACCTTGTACAATTGAAATGCAAACCAAGGGAATTAAGATAATTGAAAACTTCAAATGTTGTAATATACAGAAATGGTCAGAATATAAGGTTTCAAATAACGTTCTAAGCAAATACATATGGATTTTAGTTTGAAGAGTAAAATGAACCAGATATGTGGTACATATAGGGAAACCACTTCCTACTGACAAACTGCTAATCAGTGAATACTTCAATGATTTGAGAGTCAAGGACACAGGCAACAAAGAATAATGTTTGAAGATATGGAGGAAGCACACAAAAATCTTTCACTTTTCTAATATTTTCTATTTTGACTATTTTTTTTTAATTTTTGGTTTGTTTTCCTGAAATCTTGGCTTGCTGGTGACTGCAACTTTTTGCGTTAGAAAAAAAATAAGAGATGTTACCTCTCAAATTACAATAAATTCCCTGGGTTAGTTTATCACTGCAGACTGTCTCTTATCTACAGACTGAATCAAGTATAACTCTGAGAAGCTTATTTCCTATTTTCAAAAATACTTCAAGCTTTCTAATCCTAAGTGAGTTTCTAGTTTGCTGTGCATAATTTGTAGATTAATTTAAAAATGAAATAAAATAACTTGAAATATTGATTTAAGATTTTCTTATAAAACCCATCTCAGGTAAATGTATCTAACTTCTCTATTTGAAAATAATTACAAGATTGGTTCATTTTATATACAACAGGAAAAATGACAGTTGATATAAAAATTAAGTTGATATACAATTAACACGAAATAACATAGCAAATTAAATAATTGGAGCTAATATGCCCTTACACATGAATGGGGAATCAACCAGTATATTACTTTACTTAGTGCTTCTCAACTTCAAATCCGTTAACTACTGATTTTATTGGTGACATTCACAAAACTGTACCTTTAAAAAACGGCTTAATACTTCCTGTGACATATCATGGAACAATGGGTTTATTAGATAATATATGATACAAATTAAACAACTTGTAAACTGCTACATGTTCATCATATAGCTGACATTAACTAACAGAAATGTTACTCATAGGTACTTTCTACAAAGTCAAAAACTTTTGAGAATGACTATTTTTAAAATATTTCTTTTGGCTTGATCAGTTATCTCCATCACATATATTTAATCCCTCCCTAATGATATTTAAAGTAAATTTTAATGTAAACTTTCATATCCCATAGTGCACGTTATAAAATGTAAACATAAGAGCTTTATTAATGAAAAGAGGAAAGAGGAAAAATGCATAACAGACTGTGAAATTAAGGTGTTCTACAATATATCTTTAATGATCATATGGAATAGAAAAACAACCATCATGTTTGCTATCAATTTGTGCTCTGATTATCTCTTAATGACAAAAGAAAACTGTTTTAAACTATTTTTTATAGAAGAAAATATTTAAATTTCATTAATACTACGTATAATCTTCTATATTATTCGTCCTTTGTTGCTTTAAGAACAATCAGTAATAATCTCAGATGAGCCTGCAGAATGAGCTTACCTACTTCAGATCTACCCCGTCATCTCTTTTCTGTCTGTGTGCTATTCTAGGGACCAATCATTTATTGTCCACTGATGGTCTCATCTGCTTTATACTCCAATACAGGAATAATTTAGTTACCAAAATGCACATATTTTCCTTTCCTTTTGGCTTTTTAAAACCTTGAAAGGACATGAACAGTTTTATAGTATATTTCTACAGAAAATACTTTGTACGTCATCAGACTAGACTCTTACATAGATAATTATTGACAAAGGATGCTTGTGATTTTTTCCATGCGACAGCATGTGCACTAAGATTTAATTGGCTCATCACCTGAGTGTACTGGAACTGTTAGCAAGTAAAGGGCATATTAAAAAGGGAGCTGAACATTTTACTGAAATAATGAAACATTTTTTTAAGCAATTTTAATTAAGTAATGCAAAGGTACATTAGGTTAAACATTTTATAAAAATTCAAGCAAAATTAAAAACTTAGCCAATTTCAACATTTCTACAAATTTAACCAGTAACTATTTTGGTCAAATCCACGTTTAGCTGAATTAATGAGAACAAGGACAAGGGACATTGAAGTATTCTCCTCACCACAATGGAGGTTTTTCTCACTTTCCACACTGCATAGCCATTACATGGAAACTCCCAGAATGATGAGCAGTTCAGTCATGCTCTACACTTTTCTTTTCAATGAAAAGTGATGTATCGCCTTGTTTTGCTTTTGACAAAATATGGACTAAACACAAGTATACAATAACAAGAATCCAAGAGTAGCCCATACACAAGTCAACTATGTGTATGTTTTTATTATTTAAAGCCCACCATTCAGCTTATCTGTCTAAAGATATGGTAATAAACAGTTTGTTTCTTTTTCACTAATGATACTGATGACCAGTCAGTTGAAGGGAGGGAAAGTCCAAGACAGCCATTTATAAGTCAGTCAGTGACACAAATATAACTGTTTCAGCTTCAGGACTTCTGACTTATTGCCTCTCCCTCAAAGAGGTCAAACAACGATGGCAGATAATGACAGCACAGAATCTTTCGGCATGTGAAAGTTTTATACAGGACTGACCCAGGAAAAGTCCCTGCTATGTCCCCTCAACATCCCTGTTTCTTCATTTGTAACATGTGACCATCCTAGTTCCCAAACTGTCAACTCGTAGCTGGTCCACAGCATATACTCCACGTTGAGTGTGTGTGAACACTCCTCAGTTAAAGCTGCATGACTGAGGTCAAACAGTGCATGACTGTGCTAGGAAAGAGCAGTATCCAGTGATGAACATCTCTTTAATGTTAACTTTCCTAAAGTGAAATCAATAAAATAAAATAGGAAAATTCTTTTTCCTTCTGGCTAAAGTTGGACTTAGTTGGATTTCTGGTTGTCAGAACTGGTACCACTTCTTATCTTTGTATTTCAACATCATCTAAAGTGGAGAAAACACAAAAAAACACATTTTAAAAATGCCAGAATAACAACACTTACAACTGGTTGCTATACTTTTCTAAAACATGATATCATTCTGAAACATCCTCTCATTTTTATATTTAGTATTTATATGGAAAGCAGGAAGCAGGAACTGTTCCGTTTCAAGGAAAAAGGAATGTAACTATGAAGAACAAGCCTGGAAGGTCCTCACATTTCCTAAAGACAAGACATAAGTAAATTTTGGCTCAGTGCATTCTTCGGTGACCTAAGCTAATAACTTAAAAAATAAGGTAACTTTCAGTTCTCTAAAGTGAATTAAAAATAATACTTAAAGAACCTGGAGAATGAAAGGCTGAAATTACTACTGCTGCCATCTACAGTTTACTGAGCACTTAACTCTGGGCCAGGCACTGTATAACATACTTTCTCTACATGATTTCACTTGGTCCTCACAACAACTCTATCTGTTAGGCATTATTAAAGTCTCCCTATTTTACCAATGAAGAAACTGAGGCTTATAGGGGTTAACTGCAGTAACACAATGGTGAAACTGGGATTTGAACCCATGGAGTCTAATTCAAGAACCCATGATCTTAACCACCTCAACGTACTGTCTTCCTTAGACTCTCACATATGGCTCAGGAACGTCTGGTAGAAGGGAAGAGCGAACAGCTAGGGATTGAGCTCTTTGCTAAATATTTTGACTGTAGATATATCTGAGGTTAACTGAACTGTTATATGCCTTAGAGATCACAGTCAGGGGCACGGTTATGCCAACAAAAGGCCTGACCTAGATTTAAGGCACTAGCCTGTATCTGAGGTGTGTTGGCCTAGTACATGGACTCACGAAAGATCTCTGAATCTCTCTGAAAGCCTGGACAATTCTCTCCCAAGTCAAGTTACCTCTCATACATTCTAGTTGTCAACATTATTGAGCAAGGAGGAGATGACTTTTGACTGAAAAGTTTAAAGAAGAGCTATTACTGACAGAGTGGGTACTCAAATATAAAAATAACCTTAATATGGCTTCTTCAGATAATACACTCAAAATGCCTTTGAGGGCTAGGCTAGGAACTAAATGTGTGAAGTAGCCCAGTATAAAGCATCAAGGAGTGGCAGAACTCTGTGTCGAAATGAAGAACGTGTATTCCACCTGACGGCTTTTAAATTCAGTTTTCCAAGGGTACTATTCTGGCTAACAAAGTGTATTTGTAAGAAGGCCAGTTAGGGATCCGCTACTTTAGAGCATCTGTTTTTAAGCTCCACCACAACTTCCTAGTTCATCAAGATGAATTCGTTGCAAAAATGCACATTACTCCTCTGTGTGAGCTGGTCTACAGACAGATTCAGTATTGTTTCATTGAATAAAAACATTGGCCAATTTCAGTTACTTAACTCTACCTAAAGATCAAGAGGCAAATTATTTCCTTCTCTAGGAGAAGTTTGTAGTAGAATCTGGGCATTTAGGAAAATTAGCTTTGTTGTTGTTACTGTAACCCCTAAGAAACTGTTTGCAAAGCCACTGGCTTTGTTTACAAAAAGGCTGAAGGTGAGCAGGTACCTTCAAAATTTATAAACTACAGTAAGAGACCAAAGGCTACTGAGACATATTCTTGTAATGGTTCCCGCTGGCGGCAAAAATTAGGAATTTGCAACCATACTGAGGATACATGAAAATTCATGTGAAGAAATACAACAGCTATAAAAATACAGTAGTTTTCATACTTGCTTTACCTAGGCTTTTTGGCTTAAATATTTGACAGACATACCTCGTGAGCATGTTTAGAAAATGAATCTGCACTGGATAACATAGCTGCAGTTCTTTCTTCCAGGTCACTAAGTTTCTGCCCTCTTTCATCTAGTGCCAACCTGGCTCGTGCTAATTCACCAACAACTCCAGATGCTGCTCCTTTCACGCCTTCGATGCCACCAGGGCCAGGGATATGCTGAGCAAGACTTCTTGAAGCCTTTCCCGAGGATGATTCTCCAACTGAACGATTTGATAAATGAAAGAGTAACCCAGAAAATGAAAATTTTTTACTAATAAAATCCTACTACCTGATAGCATTAAAACAAACTTGATTGACAATATAATTGAAGTATTTATTTTACTATATAATTATTACTTTTTAGTTATGATTGTTTTAATAATTTGTAGATACTTTTCAAACATACAAAAACACAACGTACATTAATAAATATTCTATTCTATACTAGTTCATATAATAGAACTTGAGCAAAAAAGTGACTGGTAATTATTTGTTGAAATGAATAATGGGTATACAGATACCACTTTAATAACAGTAAAAAAATCACTCTTAAGTGTCCAAAAAATTAAAGATAAATTAACTTAAAAATATTTAAATTCAAAGACATAGATTTAAATATACATATTTATTTTAGTTTATTTATACCACACTTTCTCTTACTTGAAATACTATGCTTAGGCTTAGAAGGAAAATGTAGAATTTATTCAGTATTTCTTTTCAGTCTCCAAAAGTTGTAGATAACCACATCCCTTTCTTTCTATCCATTTATCTTGTCACTTACCAAATAGATCAACTTCTTCTTTCAAAAGATCTCAGGAATTCATTGCTTCCTTTCCCTTTATAACCTAGACCCTCATCACCTAACACCTAGATAACTGCAAAAGTCTTAAAATACGTTAAAGACTGATGTCAGATTCCCTCTTTCTTCAGCATACATTTCTTTTAGAAATGTAACTCATATCATAAAATTTGGCCTTGAACCATTCAGTAAATTTTAGTTTATTCAGAAGGTTGTACAACTACCATCACTAATTCTCGAGCATTTTACTCAAGCACAAAACAAAACACCCAAACAAACCCATGATTATTAGCTGTCACTTTCCATTTCCTCCACTTCTCAGTCCTTGGCAATCAATAATCCACTCTCTGTCTCCATAAATTTTCCTGTTCTGAACATTTCATACAAATGATTCACACACTGCGTGGGCTTGTGTCTGGCTTCTTTCACTTACTGTCAAGATTCAACCATATTGTAGCATGTATCAGTACTTCATCCTTTTTAATAACTGAATAATATTCCATTGTATGGATATGGATATATGACATTTTGTTTATCTGTTCATCAGTTGATGGACATTTGAGTTGTTTTCACTTTTTGGCTACTATGAATAATGCTGCTATGAACACTTGTACAAGTTTTTGTGTGAACATGTGTTTTCAATTCTCTTGGGTATATACTTAGTAGTGGAACTGCTGGGTCATATAATTTTATGTTTAACTTCTTGAGGAACTGCCAGAGTCTTCCAAAGAGGTTACATTATTTTACATTTCCACCAGCAACTTGTGAGGGTTTTGATTTCTCCATATCCTTGAGAAGATTTGTTACTGTACATCTTTTTGATTACAACCGTCCTAGTCAATGTGAAGTGGTATTTCATTGTGGTTTTGATTTGCATTTCTCTAATGACAAATTATATTGAGCATCTTTTTGTGTGTTTATTGGCCATTTGTATCTTTTCTTTGGAGAAGAGTCTATTCAAACCTTTTGCCCATTTAAAAATTGGGCTATTTGTTTTTTTATTGTTGAGTTGTAAGAATTTTTTAATACTCGATATTAGACTCTTATGAGATATCAGACTATCTTTTTTGACTTTTAATTCTGATGAAATCCAATTTACCTATTTTTTTCTTTGGTTGCTTATGATTTAGGTGTCATATCTGAGAAACCATTGCCTAATCTAAGGTCACAAAGATTTATACTTAGGTTTTCTTCTAAGAGTTTTATAGTTTTAGCTCTTACACAGGTCTTTGATCCACTCTGAGTTAATTTTTGTGTATGGTGTGAGGTCGGGGTCCAATCCATTCTTTTGCATGTGGATATCCATTGTCCCAACACCATCTGTCAAAAAGACCACTCTTTCACCATTGAAGTTTCTTGGTATCCTTGTAGAAAATCAATTGACCATACATGTATGGGCTTACTTCTGGACTCTCAATTCTATTCCATGTCTATGTATCTACCCTAATGCCAGTACCACACCCTCTTGATGATTACAGCTTTGTAGCAGCTTTGGAAATCAAAATGTGTGAGTTCTGTATCTTCTTTCTTCTTTTCAGAAAAAATTGTGTGTGTGTGGCTATTTTGGATCCTTTCCATTTCCATATGAATCTTAGGAACAGCTTGTTTCTTTCTTCAAAAAACCAGCTTGGACTTTGACAAGGACAGCATTGAATGTATAGATCAACCTGAGGAGTACTGCCATCTTAGCAATATTAAATATTCCAATCCATGAATGTAAGATATTAATCCATTTATTTATGTCTTAATTTCTTTAAATGATGTTCGAAGTTTTTAGTATATGTTTTAGTATATGTTTTCCATATGTTTAGTATATGTTTTAGTATTTTTTCTTTTTGATGCTATTATAAATGAAATTGTTTGCTTAATTTAATTTTTGGTTTGTTCATTGCTAGTGTACAGAAATGCAATCGATTCTTTATATGGATCTTGTATAAAATCTTGCTGAACTTGTTTATTGGCTAGAATGTGTTTTAAAAAATTTTTTAATTTAAAAAATTTTTTGGCCACGCAGTGCAGTTTGTGGGATCTTAGTTTCCTGACCAGGTATTGAATTTGGGGCTACAGGAGTGAAAGTGCCAAGCCCTAACCACTGGACCACCAGGGAACTCCCTAGAATGTTTTTTTGTGTGTGTGTGTGGTTTCCTTAAGATCTGCTATATGCAGGGTTATGTCATCTGTGAAGAGAGGTAATTTTACTTCTTCCATTCCAGACCTGCATGCCTGTATTTACTTTTCTTGCCTAATTGTCCTGGTTAAAGCCTCTAGTATAATGTTAATAGAAGTAGTGAGACCCTTTGAATTCCTATATAAAATTTAGAATCAGTTACAAAATTTGGGGGGGTGTTGATAAGGACTTCATTAAATGTTTATTTGTGTACATGCATATATCAGTTTTGAGAGAAGGGATGTTCTTATTGCATCTTCTACCACACGAACATGGTATACCTCTTCATTTATTTGGGTCATTAACTTCTCTCAACGAAGTTCGATAATTTTCTACCTTCCCCATGGAGGTCCCTGAACATCTTCTGTTAAGACTTATTTCTAGGTATTTGATTTTTTTTGATACTCTTGTGGTAGGTAGAATAATGCCCCCCCAAACCCCCAAAGATGACGACACTCTAATTCCTGGAACCTGTGAATATGTTACCTTCGTAGGAAAAGGGACTCTGCAGATGTGATTAAGTTAAAGACCTAAAGGTAGACTAATTATACAGGTAAACCCAATGTATAATCACATGTGTTCTTAAAAGCAAAGAGCTTTCCCCAGCTGTGGGCAGAGAAATGTGGCTTCAGAAAAACAGAGAGATGCAAAAAAGTTGCTAGCTTTGAAGATTAAGGAAGGCATCACCAGGTATGGAATGTGGATGGCCTCTAGAAGCTGAAAAAGGCAAGGAAACCATTCTCTCCTAAAGCCTCCAACAAGGAACACAGTCCTGGTAACACACTAGTGAGACCCATGTTGATTTCTAACTTATAAAACTGTAAGATAATAGAATTTCTGTTGTTTCAAGTCACTAAGTTTGTGGTAATTTGTTATAGCAGCAATGGAAAACTAATACAAAGAGCAATTTTTAAAATTTCATTTTTTACCGTTAATATGATATGAATGAATTTTATTTTTATATGCTGATTATATCTAGTCAGTTTACTAAACTATTATTTCTAATGATTTAGCTACAGATATTTTAGGCTTTCTAAATATGTCATCATATCAAACATTCACAAGTGATTATTTTGTTCTCCCTATCCTATTATTGTACCTTTTATTTCTTTTTAGTTCCCTTTTAAAGTCTCTAGGGACTTTAATACATTGTTGAATATATGTGGTAACAGAATTATATCTCATACCTTATGTCAAAGGAAAAATTTAAAATATTTTTTAATGTTCCTGTACTAAGTGTGATATTTGCTATAGAGTTTTGATAGTTAAATGTTGTAGCATTTGTAGCTATAATTTATCAAATTACTTTCTAGGAATTTTTATCATGAATGGATACTGAATTTTAACACATCTCTTTTGCATTTATTGTGGTGGTGGTATGATTTTTCTCTTTAATCTGTTAATGTGGTGAACTACCAATTAACTTTTTAAAAAATAATAAATCAGCTTTGAATTCCTGGAACAATGCAAACTTGGTCTTGACATATCATCTGCATTGTGATTAGATCACACATTCTTAATTCTAATCCATTGGAATCTGTTGATTTTTTAAAAAAATCATCTAACATAATGTAAACTTAAAAAAAAACCCTAACTTTTTATAATGTAAGTTTCAAACATACAGGAAAGTAAAAAGAATTGTATAATAAACATCCATATATCCATGACCTAATTTTGGTAATAGATAACATTTTATTTTTTTTGCCATTTGACTATGTCTGTATATATATAATTTTTGAATGGAATACTTAAAAATTTATTATAGAAATTGATATTTTACTCCAAAATACTTCAGTATTCATCTATAATTTCCCTACAAATATCAATAGAATACATTTTATGAACATTCTGTATGTGTTTGAAAATGTATATTCTGCAATGTTCTTTAGGTTTAAGTTCCTTCATTGTGTTGTTAATATCTTCTGTACCCTTGCAACCTATTTTTTATCTGCTGTTATATCTCAATCAATGGATATATTTTAGAAGTCCCCACTATGATTGAGAAATTGTCTCTTCTAGCAGTTATGTCCATATTTGTTTTTTATATATACTGAAGTCAAAATATTAGGTATACTTAATAATGCCTTAATGTTTACTCTTTCTGATATTAACATAGTTGTACCAGGCAGATGATTCATTTGCGTTTGTGCTTTTCTACCTTTTAAAATTTCAATCTTTCTGTGCTCTTATATTTTATTTTTTATTAAAAAAATTTTTTTAACATCTTTATTGGAGTATAATTGCTTTACAACGGTGTGTTAGTTTCTGCTTTATAACAAAGTGTATCAGCTATACATATACATATATCCTCATATCTCCTCCCTCTTGCGTCTCCGTCCCACCCTCCCTATCCCACCCCTCTAGGTGGTCACAAAGCAAGGAGTTGATCTCCCTGTGCTATGCAGCTGCTTCCCACTAGCTATCTATTTTACATTTGGTAGTATTTATCTCTTATATTTTAAATGTGTCTTCTGTGAGCAATATACTTATCCTTCTTTTAAAATTTAGTCTGATAGTCTCTATCTTTTAACTAGAATATTTATTCTACCTACATTTACTACAGTTATTTATATTTAAGTAAATCTACCATCCTTCATGTGTTTTCTAGTTATCTCACCTGTTTTGTGTTCTTTCTTCCCTCCTTTTGGAAGGACTGTGATCTTCCTGCTATTCATCAAGTTATGTACTACTTTTCTAGGTTACAGAGGTCACCCTAGAAATGACAACAAGAATCCTTAACTTATTAATGCTAATAGATCTTTTTACAAGTCTCTCAAAAAATGCAGGGATCTCAGATCACCTCAAATCCATTTATCCTTTCTAATTTCCTTGATTTTATGCAATATTTTGGATCACATTGTTTATTTATATGTGTATACACATACCACAAGACTTTGCTTTACAGTTTATAAAGATTTCAGTAATTATAATTATGCATGTATTTATTACTTTCTTTCCAAAGCATTGTCTCCTATATTTCTGACATTCCATCAGGATTATTTTCCCTCTATTTGAAGTACATCCTTTAGCATTCCCTTTAGTGTGATAGTGAGGCTTATTTGTTCACTTGTCTAAAACTCTCTCGTTCTTGAAGAATATTTTCTTTTCAGTATATAGTTCTAGATTAAGTACTATCTTCTGATAATAGGATGATAGAAGATCATCCTATTACCTTGGCTGTTGAGAACTCAGTCCATAACTTGCTAAAAGGTACCTATCATTTTTCTCTAGCCACTTGAAAGTTTTTCTTTGTTTTTGATGCACATTATTTTCATGTGACCTATCTAGTTGTGGATTTTTAAAAAATATCCCTCTTGGAATTAATTGGCTTCTTATGTGTGAAGTGCTGTATTCTATCAATTCTGAAAAATTCCCAGCTGTATCTCTTTACATATTGATTCTTCTTCACATTCTTTCCTATCTGCTTCTTGAGAAGGTCTAACATATGTTAGCCCCTCTCACTGCAACTTCTATTTCCTTTATCTTCTCCTATGTATCTTACATCTTTTTGTTTCTCTGTGCTACATTCTGGATGTTTTATTTTGACGTACGTTTAAGTTATGTAATTCTTTCTTCAGTTGTGTCTAATTTGTGGTTAAATTCATCCACTAAGCTTTTAATCTTGGTTTCTGAATCTTTCATTTCTAGAATTTCATTTTAGTCTTTTACACATTTGTTGTATTGATTGTATAGCTTTCAGTTACCTGATAAAATGTTCAGGCACGGTATTGATACTTATCCTCTTGAACATAATATGAATAATTATTTTATAGTCTGTGTCTGATGACTCCAATATTTGAAGTACCTGTGATTCTGCTTTGGCTTTTTCTGTTTTATTGATCATGGTGTTGATTCCTAGTATTCCAGATTACCTGACTACATATTTGAAAAACTATTTCTAAAAATGATATGAGGACTCTGAATATGTTATCTTTCTTTAGAGAACATTTTCATTGGAATCTGCCAGTTGCTGGGGACTTTAGCAGTTTGAAAAAATCTTAATTGAAGTTGAAAGTTTTCCGGGCCACTCAGATCATCTCAGGCTGAGCTGAAAGTCTGTGTGTCTGTATGTGCTGATTTACTTCCAGTTCACCTTTACTCTTAAGCTGTGGCCCTTTGGGGTCTTTGCAAAGAGAAAGAGTTATTTATCAGGGTTCCCATCTTAGCCAATTCTGGGAGCCTACCTTGCTAGTCCTAACACAGTTTAGAATCTCAGCTTGCTGCTTTAGATTAGCAAAGTACTCCAGGGTAAAAGTGGCCTCAGGTTGCCACGCTCACCACCTTTCCCCACGGATACCGTCTCCACTATACTGTTAGCTCTTCGATGTTTTCGAGAAATAAAAAATGTATATATGTTTGAATTTTGTATAACTTTGTCTATTAACCTCAGTAAGAATGTTATTCTAAAATATCCGTCCCCCCGTGACTTGAAGAACAGTCTTCATTTTTTAAATGAATTAAAACTGACCAATCCTCATTACCCAGATGACTGAACAATCATTTGGGTAAGTTTTTAAAATGAACTTGCACTACACACTTACTTGCTGGTATTTAATCTTACAGTCTTTCTAGTCAACCAAACAGAAAAGGGAAATTCTAAAATATTCTAGCAAAAAATAAAGAATAAAAGAAAATAAAAATTCAAGGATAGCTAAGAGCTCCTATTTGAAAGAAAGGTCAGACATTCATTGATTCATTAGTTCATTCAAGGACCAATTTCTGATTTGTGCCAATTCTATGGAAGGTAGTAGATGAACCAGATTTTATATTTTAAATAACCTTCTAAGTGCAATGAGACTAATTCTGGAAGTTTTGTAAGATAAAATAAATGTTTAAGTAAAAACGTTTTCAAAGTTAAGGTCATCAACTAAAGTCAATTACAGAATTAAAATAATGTAGATCATATTTAATGAAAGTCAAAAGTATTTTAAAAATTATTCATTTAAAGCTGTGAATATTCCTTTTTAGTCACCTGAAGCCATTCCGATTTTGGTTTCCAGAGTAAACTATTCCCCTGACTTGAGTTAGAATATGGCAGAATATAATTTTATGTATTTTGCAAAAACTTGGGTCTATCAATTGTTGTGACAGAGAGGAAAAAGGTGAACATAATTTATACATGTAAGAAAAATTTATATGGCTTGGATGTTTCTGTTTTATAGACATATTATCCAAATTAAATAAATCAACTTACATAGTTCTTCTCTATCAAGAGATTGTGCACCACCTCCAAACAAGCCTTTAAAGAATCCCCTGTTTGGTGCTTCAGGTGTTTCTACAGGAGTGAAGAGTTCACCCAACATTTCCTTTAAAATCAAAACAAATTGTAATTGTTAAAGCTTCAGGGACACTAAACTATAATTCACAAAACCATCACTGTAAACTCTTTAACTCAAACTTACATTACCTGTTGAGGTTCACAAACAATGAGTACACTTCAAATGATCAGATCTAGAACATTCTGACTTGGTCAAACAGTAAGTTATTAAGACTAACTTGACTAAGAATAACTTGCTGCTTGCTACTTTGGCTAGATTACTTTTTTCACATTTTAAGCAAAGATGATATTCCTGCTTAAATTGTAAGGAGATTCCAATCTTAATGACAAAGTGTTCATATAACTCTTATCAGGAATTGGTAACTGGATTAATAACTAGGTCTTCTTAAATTAGAAAGAAGAAAATCTATTAGCAAGTTGAAAAGTCCAGTGTAATGATGATACACAGTCTTGGAATTATCCAAAATAGCTGAGTCAGAAAATTAGTAGTTTAGAAAGACATACATACTTCTTTTTTCATAAACAAATGCTGGGAAGAGAATTATGCCAACATAAACCTGGAATTTTGGAAATCTGGCAGGGAGATGGAAAGGTTTCTTTTTATATTGTCAGAGTTTTCTGAAATTTTTGTCAATATTTTTCAGAGCACAGAAATGGTAAAAGTAAGTCAGGAGACAAGAAAAATTGCTGACATCTTACTGACTTTGTAGATGAGACATAAAGAGGGAAGAGGAGTTTCTATAAAAAAAAAAAAAAAAAAGGATGGTAGCAATATTATTTGCAAGGCAGTTTTGGGAAGCTTTAGAAGCAAAATAAAAGTATAGTGAGGCTTTGGGATTGCATTTCTGCCCATTAAAGAGAAGTAGCTATGATACAAAGGACAAGTACACCACTGGTTCCAGATAGTTCTGTTGTATTCTGATATTACATTATTACAGTTGGAGCTAAAGTATGTATTTTTTAGAGTTTCTTCCTTAGGGCTGGGCTAAGAAAGTTAATAAAGGATGTCCAAAGATTTTACATTTAGGTATATCTGTACACATATATATATTTTTGGCCGCACCGCGCAGCTTGTGGGATCTTAGTTCCCCAACCAGGGATTGAACCCGGGCCCACGGCAGTGAGAGAACGGAGTCTTAACCGTTGAACCATGAGGGAATTCTCAGTATTATCCATATTAATGCTGTCTCTCCAACCAGATTATAAATGAAAGGAAATATATATTAACACTATACAACACAGAGTTTCATTTATAATGTTGAAGTGGATTAAAGGCTTTACATTTTCATTCTCTTCCTCTGGATTTCTATAAAGTGGAGTAAAAGTAGAACGAAAAACCTCCTGAAGTCAATAAATCAAACTTGCTAAAACCCACCATAGAATATACTAATACCTATTATTTAATTCAAATTTATATTAGCCTATATAAAGAAGATGATTTTAGGCATATTTCCAATCTTTTTTATACTGTACTTCACAGATTCTAATTTAAACTGTATCTATTAAATTGATAAAACAAATGGCAAATAGCTACCATTTGAGTGTCTTTTATGCTAAATCAAGAGTAATATGACATATATATATAGAGAGATAGAGAGAGAGTCACAGCATAAAAATGTTTTTTGAAATTTACCTCACTTTAGAATTATGGTTTACAGCTCTTAATTTATTTGGTGTTTAATGAGCTTGCAATCTTACAAATGTAAAGTTAAGAAATTTAAAAATCCAAAGATTACAGTTATAAATCAAGAATCACTACAGTGTACTGGAATGAGTATAAACTTTGGAACCACGTGGACCTGGGTTTGACTCTCACCTCTGACTTTTACTTGCAGAGGAAGCTTAGGCAAATCAGTCTCCCAGGGAACTGGCTTCCTCAACTTTATAAAGAAGTGATAAAAATACTTACCTCTCGGGAATGTTACCAGGATTAAAGATAATGAAGATTATCTTTAATAAACTGAAGATAACATACAATTCCAAGATCAGACACTCAATGATGTATACACTAAATAGAAAAATCTCCTTTCACATAGGGATGAAACAAATTAGAAAATATGCAAGTCATTTATCATTAGATTAACATTGTGAATAGATATCTTTGAAGGAAGTGCCGCATAGCACAGGGAGATCAGCTCGGAGCTTTGTGACCGCCTGGAGGGGTGTGATAGGGAGGGTGGGAGGGAGGGAGATGCAAGAGGGAAGAGATATGGGAACATATGTATATGTATAACTGATTCACTTTGTTATAAAGCAGAAACTAACACACCATTGTAAAGCAATTATACTCCAATAAAGATGTAAAAAAAAAAATTAGGTATTTCTTAATGAGTCTGCACTGTCTGCAGTTAGTATTAGAATTTGGGGAGAAGTATTGATGTTAAAAACGTACATATTTCAAGAATATAAAATAGTATCTATAGGTATTTTTTCACTTGTATCTAAATAAGGATTTTAATTATGATAAATTTATGCTTTAGAACACTTAACTTTAATGACTAATACATGTTGGTGAAATCGAAATAGATTTGTACTATCTGAGATTTCTCTACATCTAGTAATGGGAAACTGTATCTCTGAAACGATGTCTGGAACTTTTAAACTACTCTAAAATATGAATATATAGAAACAAGTATACTTGTTTGATGTTAGACAGTTGGATTTCATTTGTCATTTGTGTTTATAAGCTTAAGTGGTAAAATATAGGACTAATTTCATGAATGAGTCAATGTAAGTGCTTTGTTTGTCACTACTCTTTTTTTCTTAAATTGAAGTACAGTTGATTTATAATATTAGTTTCAGATGTACAACAGAGTGATTAAATATTTGTATAGATTATACTCCATTTAAAGTTATTACAAAATATTGGCTATATTCTCTGTACTGTACAATATATCCTTAGAGCTTATTTATTTTATACATAGTTGTTTGTACCTCTTAATCCCTTACCCCTATATTGTCCCTCCCTTCTTCCCTCTCCCCACCGGTAACCACTAGTTTGTTTTCTCTATCTGTGAGTCTGTTTCTGTTTTGTTATATTCATTCATTTGTTTTATTTTTTAGATTTCACACATAAGTGATAATGTACAGTATGTTTTTCTCTGTCTGACTTATTTCACTTAGCACAATACCCTCCAGGTCCATATGTGTTGTTGCAACTGGAAAAATTTCATTCTTTTTTATGTTTAAGTAGTACTCCATTGTATGTGTGTGTGTGTATGTATGTGTGTATGTATGTATGCATGTATCTATCTATCTATCTATCTATCTATCACATCTTCTTTATCCATTCACCTGCTGATGGGACACTTAGGTTGCTTCCATATCTTGGTTGCTGTCAGAATGGCTATCATCAAAAAGCCTATAAATAATGAATGATGGTAAGGGTGTGGAGGAGAGGAAACCATAGTGCACTCTTGGTGGGAATGTGAATTGGTGCAGCCACTATGGAAAACAGTATGGAAGTTCTTCAAAAAACTAAAAACAGAACTACCGTATGATCCAAAATTCCATTTTCTTCAGTATATATCTGAAGAAAATGAAAACACCAATATACACAGCAGTATTATTTATAATAACTAAACTCTTTTTATTACATCAAATAATCACTGATTTTAATAACTTTGATTAAGAAAACTCTCTGTTATAAGAATATTGAGACTACATAAATATCTTCCAAGATAAGCACAGTAATAAATTTCAGTATTGCTGCATAATATATTCAAGAGAACCTAAACAGTTCAACTGTCATCGATTTTTTACAGTGAACACATGCAGTTTTGTTTATAAGTTACAATCTTGAGGTGCTTAGAACAGTTGTTAACTTAATTGTTTAAACTGAATTAATCGGTATGTTCCACCTCTTTATCATTATGGTAAGTTTTATTTAAGTTTCACAGATAAATCAAGTCATCAATTTGAAAGACAACTTGTAAATTTTCCTTGTGTTTTCACTCAAGATATGGTTAGAATAATGCTGTAGAAAGAAATTTAAGTATTTCGATCCATAAACATATACTTTTGACTAACTGCACTTTAATGCTAATAAAAAGTCCTGAAATCCATTAATTTTTAAAAATAGTTTTATTGAGGTAATTGACATAATAAACTGCATATACTTAAAGTGTAAAAATTGCCAAGTTTTGACATACACATATGCCCGTAAAATCACGACCACCATCAAGAAAGTGAATATCCATCACTTGCATTTCCTTGTGCCTCTCTGTAAGACCTTCTCTCAACCCCCTTCTCGACCTCCTATCTCTAAGTAACTGCCAATCTGCTTTCTCTCACCACAGATTAATTTGTATTTTCTTTAGTTTTATGTAAATAGAATCATACAATGTGTACACTTCTTTGCTTGGCTTATTTCACTCAGCATAACTGTTCTGAGATTCATCCATGATACTGAATGTTACCAACATTTCACTCTTTTTTATTGCTGAGTTGTATTCTACTGTATGGATATACTATAATTTGATCATGCATTCATCTGTTGATGGACACTTGGGTAACTTCCAGTTTCTGACTAGTACAAATAAAACAGCTATGAATATAAATTTACTTCTCTCTTGGGTTAAAAAACTAGGAGTAGAATGACTATGTCTTTTGTTCATTGATGTTTGACTTTTTACAAAACTGCTAAGCTGTTTTCCAAAGTGGTTGTATTGTTTTTGTTTTTTCATTCCTATCAGAAGTGTATTAGAGTTCTATATTCTCTACATCCTTGCCAAAACTTAGCATGGTATTCTTTTTAATTTTAGCCTTTCTAGTAAGTGTTTAACAATATCTCATTGTGGTTTTACTTTGCAGTTCTCTAATGACTAATGATGTCAAGCATCTCTTCATGGTGAAGCATTTGTCCAAATATTTTGCCCATGTTTTTACTGAGTTGTCTGTCTTCTTTCTATTGAGCTTTAAGAGTCCTTTACATATTCTAGATACAGATCCTTTATCAGACACATTGCCAAGATTTTCTTCCAGTCTATGGATTATCTTTTTATTTCTTAAGTGTCTTTTGAAGAGCAG